CACACATCATGGCCTCCCCCATAACTGTGATGACTTTGGCAATAAATACTCACGAGTGTATACCCTTACTTAATTATGTGGCCACATTATCCTTATGTGACGTGAAATGCAACTCACGCGGCGAGCAGCGAGTCAAAGTGCGTGCGTGGGCGGGGGAGGGGGCACAACACTTAATTATGAAGATCGGGATTTGTATGTTATCTTATACGGGTTCAACTGTCGTGCATAAATATTGACGGGGAAAATGCATCACGCGCATCTAAATAGAAAAAGTATAATCATATCATACCATGAAATACATTTTCCAACTAATGCCTCAACAAACAAAAATCAAGGAAGCAGAACTGTTTTTCTATAGGCCTGGCGACCGTCCGTGACTTATACATGCAGCGGTGATATCCCTCGCGCTCCCGGCTTCCCAACTGCGAGTGCTGGATGGGAGACAATGCCATGTAGATTGTCGCAGTTAGACCTTCTCTTTGGACGTCTCGTGTGCCGGATGTGAAACGGAATTTAATGTTGCGTTCATAAAGATGTTTAAATTTAATTGCTAATGACCTAAGTCGTCATTATCAGCTTCCATTTTGTCAAACATCACTAACCCTTTTACGCGCATAAACTGATTGCATGCGGGGAAGTGCTCGCGCAGTTGGCAACCCGTGCCACGGATACGGCTACGCTCTCCTCCCTCATAACAGAAATCCTGCCTACATCCCGGCGGGCGGAAAAGCAGAGCGCTTCCAGAGACGGTGGGCGGAGCGGATGCGGACCCGGCGCTTGGCCAGTCGGCAAGCGCCGCGGCGGCTCACAGCGACGGCAGCTGGCAGGTCGATCACGTCAACGTCGACCAGCGCTTGCAGGTAGAGGTAGGCAGCGGCCTGGCGCAGCCGGTGGCCGCGTCCCAGCCGCGGCAGGCCGGCTAGCGCCAGCGCCGGAGCCTGCGGCCGCACATCCCGTAGGCGCTCCACCAGGTCCAACATCTGTGGTGACACGGGCCCGCCGGTCAGCCACCTCACACGGCGCACACGCCTCATCAGGCTGCGGGCAGACGCCGCGGCGGAGCTCGCTGTCCATACCCTTCTCCCCATGGTGGACAGGATGGAAGACTCCCAAAAAGGAACAGACATCATTTCTGCCTCGCCAGTCCGCCAGACATGCTAAGCTCCCAACACGTTTCGCTTCAGTTACGCCTCATCAACACCCCTTCCCTTCGCACATACGGTAATGCATGGACGATCACTCGGCACACCGCCTGTGGTAATGTCCCTGACCGACGTTGGTCTGACAACTATTTCGTGACTGACGCTTCTTGGCAGAACGACGCTGCAATCTCGGCAAAATTTTGTGTTTTTAGCTGCTGACCCACAGGACGTGTTTTGAACACCTTTCGTCGAGCATATTCGCATTCTTTCCGTCTCTGAACGTTTGGAACTTCCGCAATGTAGCAGTCTCAGAGCGATTACGCGCCCGAAAGATTATGCCAGTCTGACATATGTACGCTATTTGTTGAATACCCTGTCCTGTCCTGCCCTGCCCTGCCCTGCCCTGCCCTGCCCTGCCCTGCCCTGCCCTGCCCTGCCCTGCCCTGTCCTGTCCTGTCCTGTCCTGTCCTGTCCTGTCCTGTCCTGCTGGCCCTGCCCTGCCCTGTCCTGCCCTGCCTCCTTGTCTATCCAATCTTGCGTTGCGTCATGTTCGGGCCGAACAGCGAATCGCTGAATGATCGGATTCAAGCGTGGCACGTGCCAGAAGGGCTGTTTTACATCCACTGGTCTTACAAGGGTGACCTAAAAATGTGACCTACGACAAAGCCGACGAGCAGCCCTTCAAAATTGTCGCCACATCCTGGTAACCAAGTGTCAGAGCGGCAAGAAGTTGCCGCATCTTAACTGGCAATCGGACGGGGAATGCGTCGTGTCACATGCGCAATCGTATGCGCGGCTTGCCGTGCATATCGAGCCTGGTAAAATGGCTTTGCCCGAAGTTTGTCACATCTTGTCCATAACTTGCAGCCAGAGAGGGTGGAGGCACAAATCTAATTTCAAAGCGTTGACCTATGTACCATGGCCAACACCCGTTTGTATGGTGCGTGGTTGCGCCAGTAATCGCTGGGCAAGCCGAGAATGCCCGCATTAGGATAAATGGTGCCGAATATAATAGACTGCCGTTGAAACTGTAGTCAGGGCCGTGGCGAAATTTAAGTTGTCGCTTGCACCGATTCTTTACCAGTATTTTCCACCAATTTGTTCGTCATTCTATGTACGCTCACGTCTAGACACCAATTCTACCTAAGGGGATGCAATCCCGTGTTATCGCATCACCAAAATGCTGCCGGTCAACGTTCAGTCGCCGCCTAGTATTTTAAGCAAAACAAAACGAACAGAACGACCAACTGCGCGCGTGCCGGATGTAGCCGGCCGTCGGTAGCAGCTATTCAGCTCCAGTTCATTCATTCGTTACGGCAAACAAGGCGAGCTACTGAAGATTGAATGCATTGCCCGAGCCTGTTACCTTGACGTCATTTGATGTTTTGACGCTGCTTTGACGTTTCCACGGGTGTGGTGAGAGGACTCAAAAAATGGAGAAATGAAGCCCTTTTTCAGCGAGGCGCCCTGCTACGGCAAAACAACATGCCCACTGGCTCCACGAGGGTGTGTTGGAGTCACCGCAGAGTCTGACATCCCACCAACACTGCAGCAGCATCGAAAGTGGCAGCGGCGAGATTAGGGAAATCCGGCATTTGCAGTGGCCGCAGTAACAGTTTTCCTGAGGTTTTTGGAATGCGTAACGACACTCCAGCCGCACTTGAAATTGAAAGGGTAAAGACTGAAAGCTGGATAATTGATCATTTTGTGTTAAAGGGTGATTACTGGAAATCTGGACAAAACTGAAACTGATATACATTCTTATAGAATTGAGAGAAAGACACGACATGATATCAATTTGCAGCTGAAATCGTACATTAGCTTGCGCTTTTAGTAAACAGGTCACTGAATAGCATGTCGGTCATCTTGGGGAAGCGCGCAGGGAGGTGCTGGATCAGTTTGCGAGGCAGTTCCTGATCCATGATGACCCATAAGTTCCATCTGATAACCCTAATACCCTGAATACCCATATCGGGTGCAGGCGATCAGCTGATAATCTAATGAAGCCAACCACTCCACTGTACACCTCTTGATTTACAATACCCACGGACCCTTTAGCTGACGCACCACTGACGTAGAGCAGAGGAATAATCGGCCTTCCTTATGTACAGTTCGACCAGCTCCTCGAGTGCGGCAGGTGTTGTAGCTACCTAATGGACCGTTGCCAAATCTGGCCAGACCGCATAATCTTGCTCACGAAATTTCGCATAAAAACGGTATCGTTTTCACTTTGATGCCCTATTCTCTTTAGATCTGGCCGTTGGCGGCCACCACCCCCCTACAGAAAACCGGATCTATGATTCCAGTAAGGCTGATGGCTAACCACATTGTATTCTCCAGGTTTTCCAGGGGCATGGATTTTACGTAGTTTGGGGTGTCATCACTAGGGCCACAGCATAAAAACAATATTGCAGGGCATATCACTTCCGCAATAAGTTGAGCAATGCGCATGCTTTGCCGTCCATGACATCTGCCGCACTTGTGACTAACAACGCATCCCCGGACAGACGGTGAATCTAAGTTTTCGGAGACCTCTCTTGATTCCGAGTAGGTTGTTGGGCCTTTTGTTTCGTTGGCATTTTGTCTCCTCTTATCTCTGGTCCAACTTCCAGAAGTACGGTGTGGATGGGAAAGTGACTGCATCCAACTCTTCTACACGAAGACGCTGGGAAATCGTCACGTTGACGTTTGCGGTTTTAATCACCGTCATGCTCGCCGCCATTTGAAGCGGTCTGCGTTTCGTGTTGAGTTTCATGTCTCGTTCCTCACCACTCGGCTGCAGGACTGAATATTTATTTCCCTTAGTAACCCAAATGGTCAAAAAGTAATTCCTTGCAAATGACGTCAGCTTATCGTTGTTGCTCCTATACGTTCAGCGACCAGCTCGCAACTTTGTTGTTTCATCAGCGTCATCAGTTTGGGTCCCGGCTCCTACAACATCAATAGGATCCCCTTTTGTTCTTCGGACGTGATAGTTAATAGCTAGGCGTTGGAACCAAAAATAAAAATTCGATCTCAAGATATATTGACGCTATGAAGCCTCAAAATGTGTTCAGATTTCCGACTTTAGTAGTAGTAAGTCATCAGTAATAGTAATTTTTCAGTATAAGTAGATCAGTATTAGTAGCATTATTACTATTCAGAATTAGAATTCAGTATTAGGAGCAGCAGCCATTAGTAAATGAGAAACCACTGGTTAGTCGGCAGATTGTGGTATAATTACATAAGAATGTCTCAAATGATCCCTCCGAACCATTTCTTTTACTGCCTCGGTGTGCTTTACTGGCATCAACAAACTTCACGGCTGCATCTTGCAGCGCGAAATCGGTAATGGTAGCATTCATCTCGGTTCCAATTAAGTAAACCCTATCGATCAAGATTGCTCTTTGAAACAGATACGGTAGTTATAGATGAAGTCGGTTTACCATAGGTCACGTACCTATTTCCCTGGTCGTCAGCGTATAACACCCAGTTCCAGTCCGGCACACCGATATCCAGAGGTCGGATCCGCCAGGAATCCTATGAACGGTGTTGAATGTGTCCCGAAAACAAAGCAATTAGTCCGTGCGCACATGCAGAATATATGTGACAACCCCTAAAATATTTGCCTTCTGGCGCCCAGCAAACGGCTCAAATGGCTAATCGAACCCGCCCTTGGACCCAGCTTGCTCGTCCCCACGGTCACGGTTCTCCCAGACGTCCCTACCCCTTGCAATCCAACAGAGTTCTGGCGTCCAGCAGTGTTAGTGCTCTGCCTGAGCAGCGTTCAATGCCGAGTGTTTTGGTCACGTCTCCATGACAACGCGTTTTAGCGTCGCTCGCTCGCCGCGTCACGCTCTGCTGAGTCGGGCGCCGAGCAGGCAGGGGATTGCGGGGTCGTGGGGCTGTGGTGCGGGTCCGGGCCGGAAAACAGTCATTTGAACGAAAACAGCCATTGCGATGGATGCGCGCGCGTGTGAATATTGGACGAAACGACAGCGGGCGTAGTTGAGCTTGGCGAAACAAAGACGCGTGTCGTGCGGAAACGTGAGTGTTTTAGTTTTAGCAAGTGAGAATCTGGTGCTGTACGGAGTTCTTGCATATTGGTAAGTGCAGTGAACAAGCAAGGATACATACCGTCGCCTCGTTATTTCGCGCCAAGGTTATATATTTCACCCATCTCCGATACACTTTACAGCGCAAGGCATCGACTGCGAACAGAAAACTTCCTACTCGATACCGGGTGAGGCAGCTACAGGCCATGTCAGCAACGTGCTATGTTGTCAGACAACATAACATGTTTAAAACAAAGAGAGGTGCAGTTCGTGTTCCTGGAAGTTCTCGTGGATGCATCACTACACCGATGAGAAAGATGGGTGCGTTTATTCTGAAAGCAGTTAATTCGTGCCCCGTACCTACAACTCCAACGTATTTACGATATGGGGTGGTGGTGCGCGCCCCATTGACTTTCGTGCACAGGCCAGGTCGTGGCTTCATTTCAAGTTTTGGTACGGGCGCTAAGCGACCGGAGACCAGCGATGACCTCTAAGTAATTTCAGGCCTTCACCTTCCGAGCCACCGATGCGGTGACCGACGCAACTAGGCTTCCCGTTTACCGGTTCGACGGGCATGCGCGGCGGTGGTCGGCGGCGAAGCACGCGCCAGTGCGACGACATCCGCGGCACCACCTGAGACCGCACCATGGCCGACCTGGCTGGCTTCCCACCAGGCGGTGACGCCGCCTGTGCACCGGCCGAGCTGCAGCGGCTGCTCAGCGACCAGACGCAACGCGCCGAGAAACACCGCGCCAACTACCAGACGCTGAAGGCACAGCACGGTCGGCTGCAGGACGAGCTGGCAGCGGCGCAGACGGAGCTGGCGCTGCTGCGCGCCGAGCGCCAGTCGGCCACCGAGAAGTTCCAGCACCTGGTGGCGCAGTCGCGGCGCGATATCCAGGCGAAGGACCAGCTGATCAGCGAGCTGCAGGCGCAGATCCCGTCCCGCGAGCAGCTCGAGTACCGGCAGCTGCAGACCCGCGAGGAGGTGAAGGCACAGATGCGCGACAAGCTGCTCAAGGCCGAGGAAGAGCTGGAGCAGCTGCGCGCCGAGTCGCACGACCTCAAGTACCAGCGCAGCTGCCTAGGCACGCAGGCCGAGCAACTGAAGCAGCAGCACGACCGCGAACTGCAGGAGACGCGCGTCCGGTACGAGGTGCAGATCGCCGAGCTGGAAACGCAGCGAGACCAACTGCGCGCCTTTAAGCTGGTGGGCGAGGAGGAGCTGACGGCACGCCTTTTGCCTGTGCAAAAGGAGAACTCGGCGCTGCAGCTACGATTGCGCGCCCAGCTGGCCGAGTTGGAGGAAGCGCGCGCGCAGGCGGAGAGCGCGCGCGCCGAGCGGGCGGCATTGCAGACGACGCTGGAGCGGCGCCAGGCAGAGCTGTCGGTGGCGCTGCGCGTGTCGGAGACGGAACGAGCCCAGCTCAGCAGCCAGGCGGAGACACTGCGGGGGCAGCAGGCCGAGCTGCAGGCGCGCCTGGCCGCCGCTGAGCTGCAGCAGCAGCGCGAGGCGAGCCGCGCCGCCCAACTCGCCAGCCGGCTCGCCGAGAACGAGCAGCAGTACAAACGACACGTGGCCGACCTTCAGGTTGGTGCTGCTTCATTACTCAGAATCCAGACTTGCATGGTGGGTGGGCCTTGTGTGGTGCGCTGATATGCGTCGCGTGCCTTAGCTGCTTTTGGCTCGCCTACACTCATCATCCTCACGGATGCATACGCGATTTTCGTAGATTGGTTGTCGGTCTGAGGCTCATCAGTTACGGAACGACCCGTCACGCGCCACTGCTTGGCCATGTGACTCGCGCTTGGATGTCATATGCTTCGCCTGAAAGTGCATGAAGCCATCACAGAAGTGGGTCAAAATAATACGCTTGCAATATTGCCGTTTATCGTGTCCCAAGAGACGACTTGCTTCATCATATGGAAGTGACGCTCAATAGGTGTCATATGCCCCTAAATTAGCCAACAAAAACACGTCATGATTTGGACGGCCTTATGCGTGGGAATCGGAGGCCAAGACAGGTGATTTTGCATGCTTGTTGACAGGACGGGCGAGCGCGAACCCTGGGCGCGGGCCAACATTGATCCGTTACCTTGGTTGCGTAGCCTCACATTAAATAGGAGAGTGTATTTAGTTCAAGATAGCATTGTTGAAACCCCTGTGTTCAGCGTCCTCCCGGCACAGAAGTCTTCAGTATCATGTTCTCGACTCCCACTGTAGCATCGCGCGATTTTGACCATTTTCAGCCTCTCCTCCCATGGTTACCCCACTCGACGAAAGCCCCCTACCCTGCTTACGCTATGTCAATCACAGTGTCCAAAAAGATGAGGTATAGTTTGCCCCTAATCAAAACTAGAAGTGGGCATCAAAGACGGGCTCGTTGCTCGTGGTGAGAGGTCAACGGTTAGGGGCGTAGCTTCGCAAAATGAGCCGAGGGGGATAAGCCGCGAAAAATAACGCAGCCTTCACCAAAATACGCAAAGAAACAGATTTTTTCCGTACTTAGCCCATTTTCTTTTCAAAATTGGGGATGGGGCTGCGCACAAATTGGGTCGGCTCACAAATTCATCAGTCGGCTCAGCTGATTCTAACTTTTGCCCATACTTCCACTTAGCCGCGTCTTTCGTGATCACATCTGCCGCACTTACCTGTGAAGCCAGGCTGATATATCAGAGGGCGTTGTCTGACAATGAAGAGCAGGGCCTGCCTCTAACTGGCCTGTCACGCCGTCCGCTGCCCCAGTCGCCGTCCATCCGCGCCCGTCAAGGGGCGTCTCACCGGCCTCCCCCAGCCCAGCGCAGTCGTGTGACGTCTGACCGTGGCGCTCGTGTATTTCAGCTGGACGTGTCTCGAGCGCGCGGAGAAGCTGAGCGTGAGAAGGCGGCGGCGGCGCGCCAGCAGCAGGAGCTGCAGCACCGGCTGACGCTCGGCGAGGAGCGGACGGCGGCTCTGGAGGCGGCCGCCGCCGACGCCGAGCGACAACTGGAGCGGCGCGTGGCGCAGGCGCGCGACCGCGAGTGGAACAACACGCGCACGTTGCGCCAGCAGCTGCTGGAGGTGGAGAACAAGCTGCAGGAGTGCCAGCAGGAGAGCATGCAGGCTGTGTCGGAGAAAGCCGAGCTGACCAAACAGTGCGAAGAACGTATTGCCGAGGTGTACGAGATGAAGAAGCGCCTGGAGGCTGAGCTGGCAACGCTGCGGACCAAGACAAAGCTGCACGACGATTTGTGCGCCGAACTGGAGGAGGAGAAGGACAGCGGCTCCAAGCTCCGCCAGGAGCTGAACGCAGAGCGCTCCATCGTAACCGAGCTGTCGCGCGAAATGAAGCAAATCCAGGACGAGCGAAGCGAACTCGAAAAGGAGGTGGAGAAAAAGGCTGACGAGGTACGACAGCTAGAAAAGGCGAGCGACGAGCGGCTGGAACAGGCGTCCCAGCAGCTGGCCGCCAAGGAACGTGAGGCCACCGAGGAGCGGAGCCGGCTACAACAGCGGCTGGAGCAGCTGGAGCGGCACCGCCAGCAGGCGCAGCAGCAGCGAGACGACGAGCAGGTCAGGTCGCAAAAGTACGCCCGGTTGATCAGCAAGCTGCGCCGGCGGCTGGAGCTGTGCCGGGCCGAGACGCAGCAGCTGGCGGCCGAGCGCGATGCGCTGCGGCGCTGCGTGCCCGAGCACACCTACAACGAGCTGCGCAAACAGTACCGCCAGTTACAGCGCAAGCACCGCGAGTTCTCCAGCATGATCACGTCGCTGTCGTGGCCGGAGCCGGCCGGCGGTGCCGAGCCAGCCGGCTTGGCCGCCCAGCTGCAGCTGCTGCAGGCGCGGCTCCACTCGCTGCAGCTGGCGGGCGCGGAGAGCGGGGCGACACCGGCGTCACCGCGCCGCGCCCGCTATCGGCGCTCACCAGCCCGGCCCGGCCCGGCCACCGACACGGACGGCACCGGGTGAGCAGCCGCCGGCCGGGCCGAGATGGGCCGACAGACGACGGCCGGCAAACGCCGGACCGACCGTGTTCAGCCACGCTCCAGACCGTGCCGAGGAGCGGCCTGGTGCGCTGCTGAGTATGTCAGCGGCGAGCCGGGACTGTGACGGGGCTGCATCCCCCTGCGTTACGCCTCAGTAGGCGAATCGCTGTCCATCTCCCATTCGTGCTATGGTGTTCACCACGAGCTGATAACGTGCTGGACAAGCGCTCTGAGCGCCATGAACAGGCCAGGGACGGGCTGTGCAGCCGCTTCCAAAAGCTCCGCTACGACGGAATGACTTAGTGCTTGGCGTAAGTGCAAGCGAATGATATCGAAAACTAGTCATTTATTATCGTGCTATAGTGAAATTTAATCGTCTTCTTTCTTAACATACCAGTTGATTGTCTGAAAACCGTTGTTACTTGTTATGTTTGTATTTATGTAAGATGACAACTGTACGTCGACTAGCGAAAGAAGAAATATACAAGAGACACCACACCGGGTTTTAGCATCATAGAAAATCATTTCCGGGACCAAACGAAGAGATTTCCAGGTCACGCGCATCCAACTGGGCTAGTAGGAGGCATACTGTACCATGCACTATGGCGTGTTTATAACGGACTTTTCTCTCAGAACAAGTTAAATGAGTGCTAGGCTACGAACACACAGTCTTAAAAATCGATGGCCAGCCAGTGCTGCACCAAAAGAGTGCTGCACAGCTGGTGATTGACCTGTCAGCTACCGGCAAGCTCTGCCGAACCCCTTATTTCCACAACCGTCCATCAGAGGCTAAGCAAGTGAGTACGGCAGGTTGCCCCCCCCCCCCCTTCCTCGAGCAAAACCTCCTTTAGACGTTTGGTGGTCGTCATTAAGAGGCCTCAGCTTACCACCGCGGCCGAGATGAGGTCTGCCACCGTACTGGCCTGCACTGACAAGCATGTACACCCAGCCCGGCTAAGAACACCACCACTACGACACCTACATTTACACCAACGGTACACCTTATACAGTCATGCAACACTCAATACAGTGACGCGGGTTGGCATGCGCTTGAGAATGTATCATTTCCTCCCGAAGCTCCACACACGCTTGCTTGAAACCTGTCTAGATCCCAAATCGGCTCGGTGCCAGAGCGGGACTGGCACGTAATGCCAGCCCAAATATCCATCAGGCCTTCGACATGACCCGTGCGATGCTCCCCAGGGCGAACATTTGTATGGATGTTTTACATTCACATCTTTTCTGCTATCTATGTGCAGCGTATGGACCGCATCGCATCCTATCAGATCATTGTCTACACTACTTCTTGCACTCGTTTCGGGCGTGTTAAAGCTGTTTAAACTCCACAATATCGGCGCCCCGCTAGTGTCCGATGTGCGACTTAAGTGGCTGATCATACTGGCGCCTGGTGTATGTCGCATTCGATATCAATCAACAGCTCTGGCTCCGTTCGGAATACATCCTCGATTTGCAACCCTTCGGAGCGGTCGCACCTATGATCACATCAGGCTTGGTCCATGTGGCTCAGAAAGCCCGTTCACCAGTGGTGAACATGAACAGGTTATCAACTTCAGCCGTGGTGATGGGTAGATCCCAAATGTTTTGGTTAATTACTGTGTAATTCACAATTTGTGGATGTGTGTATGCATCGTGGCATTATGCTATGTACCGTGCTCTACCATGTTTCGCTGTACCATTATCTCTAAGGGATTTTCTTTTCTAGTTTCACCCACCTGTAAAATGTTTGTGGGATTGACTTCCGCCAAGGGCATTTCACGCACAGCACTTTGATGTGCTAGTCTGTTCCAAACAGCAAGTAATACCTTAATATCAATGCGAGGTGGGCTAAGTGGCCTGTGCTTGTGTTATTTCAAAAGGACCGGAAAAGTCACGATATTTGGCTTTGCAGCTTTTCTAGGACTCAAGTTCTGACATCCCCTTTTGGGCCCTCAGAGAGCTACAAAGTGAATTATGTTGGCTTCCCATTTTGGTATTTTTCTACAAAACTAACAAAGGCCAGTTATTCTACCTCACATTTATCTTGACTCAGTTAAAACTGATACTCGAGCAATACTCACTGAAATTAATAGCATGCCAATTCCTCGAATAACTCTCAGACTAAAGCCAGCAGATTCACTTCATACATACGAAGCTTTTTCTGATCGATTTCAGTTTGCATGGCTTCAGCCAACAAATTCACTTACCTGGTGGAGCTCAATGCCTGCACCTCGAAAGCGTGCTACCCGGGTGCCGGAACAACATAAGTTCCCTTCTATTGTTGATTAGAAAATGCGTCCACATCACTAGCATGAAGGATACATAACTTATCATATGTAGTTAATAAGCACATGCTTACACCATGTAGTTACTAAGCCAAAACTGATAATAGGCAACCAATGAGTACAAACTCATAACATGAAGCCACCCAGTACAAAGTCAGAGTCGAAGCAAAGAATGGTGTATATATATATATATATATATATGTTTATGCATATAAAAGTGAACTGTATACAAAAATGCATAACTGAACAACACGCCAAGTGAGAGCCTGCTCTGTATTACACCTGTGACCTCAGTGCAACAGTTGCTGCATGTGCTTACTTCCTTCAAGCAGGGCAAGTAACCAAAGACATATGTGTCATTCTTATATATATATATATATATATATATATATATATATATATATATATATATATATATATATATATACATATATACATATATATATATATATATGTTTATGCATATGAAAGTGAACTGTATACAAAAATGCATAACTGAACAACACGTCAAGTGAGAGCCTGCTCTGTATTACACCTGTGACCTCAGCGCAACAGTTGCTGCATGTGCTTACTTTCCTTCAAGCAGGGCAAGTAACCAAAGACATATGTGTCATTCTTATATATATATATATATATATATATGTTTATGCATATAAAAGTGAACTGTATACAAAAATGCCTAACTGAACAACACGTCAAGTGAGAGCCTGCTCTGTATTACACCTGTGACCTCAGCGCAACAGTTGCTGCATGTGCTTACTTCCTTCAAGCAGGGCAAGTAACCAAAGACATATGTGTCATTCTTATATATATATATATATATATATATATATATATTATCTATCTATCTATCTATCTATCTATCTATCTATCTATCTATCTATCTATCTATCTATCTATCTATCTATCTATCTATCTATCTATCTATCTATCTATCTATCTATCTATCTATCTATCTATCTATCTATCTTTCTTTCTCTCTCTCTCTCTCTCGCTCTCTCTCTCTCTCGCTCTCTGTGTCTCGCTCTCTCTCTCTCTCGCTCTGTCTGTCGCTCTGTCTCTCGCTCTCTCTCTCTCTCTCTGCATAGCTTTCATGACTTGGCCTTTCTCGGTGTGAGCCACACCTCGCTATGTTAGAGGCCAAAACTGGCGTGGCAACGACCGCGTTCAGGTCGGCTTCTACCATATCTACGACCCATTCAGTCTCGAAATCGCCATTAACTTGTAGATGATGCATTCGTATGCACCACACAGATGGTTTCATCTGTTCTGGTTACCGGAATCTGGCCTCAACTTTTAAGACGCAAAAATGAGTGGGATGATAATTTGCCCTAAGCGCGCGTACCAACTGCACTCATCGACGTGCATCACTCTTACGCCTGCCCATCGCCCCGCCCGTAAAATATATTCTTTTGCGTTCGACTTCCCAACGTTGCGAAGACAACGGTGAGAAGTCGGCGCGTGGGCCCATTTCCGACCACGGGTGTGCAGCTCTTTTCCACAGGTAGAAAAGCTGACATTTTTCACCTGAATCGTAATGGGAAAGCTCCATTTTGATCGCATTTCATATCCCACGAAAACCGTGTGTAACCGAACAGCTTGAATGAGTGAAAATGCTCAAACACGGCGAAATTTTGATGCCGTGCGAGCGTAATTGCATTCGATCGAAAGCAAAAAGACAAAAAACAGGCTGTGGACTGGAGGCCTCATATGTTATTGCAGTATGGGCAGGAGGCCACGGAAGGACAGACCGACTAACCTTCTTTTCGGACCACGCAGCCTCGCTGTAGGTGTTAAACAGGTGGCCCAGACACAGCGTGGCATGATGGTCCATCATGGTCTCGCGCATGCGCGAGTCGATCAGCATGGCGACCAGCAGGTCGAAGAGCATGTCGCGGGCGGCGTCAGTCCAGTAGGGGCCGTTCCACCGCAGCAGCTCGGATATACACCGGACCACCTGGCGGGCCACGGAAGGCAGCGCTGGCTCACAGGTCCCGATCAGAGGCACGCTGGCGGACCGGTTCCGACCACCCAGCACGGGGCCACACGCTCGGCAGCGGGCAGACGTGTTGACTGGCTGGGCACGGCCACAGCTCCCGCTAGGTACGAGCAGTCCGGCCACGTCACGGGTCTGGTCAGAGGCTGGACAGGTGACGTGGATCACATGTGTGGACGAACCCACCATCGGCCAGGTCACGCAGCGTGCCTGGCCGGTCGTGCGGCACGCGCGGGTGACACGTAAACATAATTACATTGAGCCACGACAAAAGTGAAGGGCACATTGAGACGGAACGAATCCGACATGCAATAGCCGCGTACTCTTGGGTTCCAGGATGGGCCACACAGCTCCTGGCCGACCCACCGCATAACCCACCACTTCCACCGCACTGACCTGCCTGAAATGAAATGGCTCGGGGCTACGAGATAAGCTGGTGCCGTTTGCATAGTCCTGTTTGGGCAGCTCATCTCCGGAAAAATCCTCCGACAAGGCAGCCTTATTCAAGCCTGCCAACGTTTGCCTCGTTATGGCCACCATTTGAGACATCTCCGGACATGAAAGCCATGACTATGTGCATCT